GCCCAAAAGAGCGAACACACACCATACAAATGAATGCAAAAATGTTACACAGAACATGACACACACAAACGAGACGTAGCAGTAAAACATGTTACCTATAAAGAGGAATTACACCTGCCCGGGGACCCGGGGCGTCATGCAACTAGCAGACAATGACTACAAGTGAGTTTGCGTCGAGTAAAATGATACCTATAAAGAGGAATTATGCCTTACCTGAGAGGCACTCACCGAACACATGCAAACATGCATGATATGCAAAAGGCATATGATAAGTGCGCCAAAGTGGTGAAGGCGAGTATGCCGTGACGGTAATGACTTAAAAGTAGCTGCAGCAGCTCAAAAGATGAATATGCCGAGGAGGCAATGACCGGAAGATGAGCATGTCGTGACGACAGTGACCCGAACAAATGGATGTGCTAAGGAGGCAGTGACCCGAGGATGGACATACCGTGAAGGCAGTGACCCGACAGATGGGCATGACGAGGAGGCAGTGACCCGAGATGGGCATACCGTGACGGCAGTGACCCGAACAAATGGTATGCTGAAGAGGCAGTGACCCAGAGATGGACATACTGTGACAGCAACAGCTTGACAAATGTGTATGCCGAGGAGGCAGTGACCCGAAGGTGAAAGTGGTGATCCTCATTGAGGAGAATCACACCAAAGCAAATGCAAAATGCAAACACATCTGGAGTACAACATGCAAACAAACAGACATGCAGTAAGATCATGCACAACATGCAATAACATGAAAATGATCGGTCGACTGGGTTGTGGTGACCGGTCTGCCCGAAGTGGCAGGTTGACCGGGCCAGGGCGGCCGATCGAACCAAAGTGGTCGGCTGACCGGGTCAGGGCTGCCGATCGAACCGAAGTAATCAAGTGATCGTAGATATGACATGCAATATGATCAACACTCCAAAATGCATCAAATAATCCATGCACATGCAATGAAGCCCAACCGCTCGGCGACACGTCGAACTCGTCCTAACGACCTCGCATAGGTACCTAGGGCTGACACACTTGGATCTGCGGCATCGCCGCCTCCAGCTTTGGTGTGACAAGGTGAAAGATATTTCTCGTAGGGGAAACTTTCCACCGTTCGCAGGGCGGACTAACTAAAAAACTTTTTTCACTCTAAGAACACCAACGATCTTATAGAATGAACTAGCTATAAAACTTTTCCCCTCCTCTAAGTTCGAACTCAACTAATCCCTTCAAGGGAGATTAGGAGCGCCAAAACTGTGGGAAGTTGGTATTCCAACCCGGCAGGATAAAGATCTAAGGCTCGCAACCAGGGAATACACTCAGTTCTACGGGGTGTTTGACCACACATGGGAAGTTCTAACTTAAAGGCTAGCTCTAGGTAAATCAACGATCAATCACATATGTACGTCGTCGCGCCGGCTCACTTCGGCGCACGTACCCGTGTGGGCGATTGAACCCACACGCCTAGACATCACTAAAACTTATGGCAAGCTAGGAGTAAAAATTTCACCACCGTGACTGTTGCGGACCAGCTCTCTTTGCTTGCTTCAAGCTCGCCGACGTTCGTTCCATGCTCAAGTGTGCCTCGCAGAACGTGCACATGACAACAAAAAGACCCAATGTGGTACACAAAGTACCCAAAATAAGTGATAAAATCATATGAAAGTGCAAACAACGCATATACCTTTACGAGGGGTCGTACGAGACCCTATACGTCGCGAAGCCGTAGCAACAACGACGACGAGTGGCTCCAACAAAGAGAGAGGGCAGTGCTGCCCTAGGTCCTGCGTGTGAAGGAGGTGACGGCAGAAGCTTCGCCGTCAAAGGCTTCGCCAGCAGAGGAGGTTCGGCCGGCGAGAAGGGTAGCCAAGCTGCTAGGGGTGCGATAGCTCGGAGCTCTGCGTAAGAGAGAGCTGGGGCCGGCGAGATCTGGACGCCGGAGTTGGAGGAGACCAGCGGGATGCCGCCGGCGAGAAAATATTGCAGCAAGTGCTGCTGACCGAGAGAAGAATAGAGAAGGTGGTAGCGGGTTAGGCCAGCGACTGGAGGAGCTCCGACGAGGAAGTGGATGCGGAGAAGGATGCTGACGAGGAGGAAGACGCCGATAAGTAGCGACCGCCAACGAATCCGGGCAAAAATGGCGTGTTTCGGAACTAGGCTTTAAGAAGAGAAGTGGCGGTGCTGGGAGTTGGAGACGGTGGCAGGGTCGTTCTACGGGGAGGAAGAGGAGAGTCCGGATGTCGTTCACTGGAGGAGTTCAGGCTTCATCTCACGGAGAACGACGAAGAAGAGGGTGACCGTTCGCAGAATAGACCTGTCATTCCTCATCTGAAGACTGACTCATCTGATCAGTGGATTGGTCTAAAGTGTGTCGAACATGTGTAGATTGTTGAACATTGAAGCTTTCTTTAATAACAATGAGTGATATATACACGTTTAGATCAATACTAGTAGTATGGGGAGATGTTTCATGAGAAAGCTTTCTTTAATAACAATGAGTGGTATAGACACATTTAGATCAATACTAGTAGTATGGGGAGATGTTTCATGAGACTCTAGAGTATCATGCTCCAATCCAGCAGCTGGAATAAAGTGTTCAAAAGCAGGAGCATCCAGGGGTAGAACGACTCGGGTATGATGTTCTTCATCTGATACAACAAAGGTTTGAATTGGAGGGTCATCTGAAAATTTCCTATCAGGAACATCGTCAGTCAGATGAGCAGAGGTATATGCAGTGTTGGAAAAAGGTCAAGTTGCACATTCTCAGCAGGGATGGTAGGTGGCAAAACACCCACCCCCAATTCAGTATGAATAGATTTTTGAACAGATTGCTGATCTTTAGCAATATCTAACCTTAGATGAGGATGTAAGCAATAGAAAATAGTAGAACTGTGACTAGAACTATGACTAAACATACTATAATAAGAGCAATAAGGAGAGTGTGGTTCAATTTGAACATTTTGCCAATAACTGTTGTGAGTGGATCTAATCAATACATCATCCGGAGCTGGTTGGGTGATTTCTCTCTCAACTAACACACAAGCCACAAAGGGTCTAGTGACAACAAACGTATGACTATCAACCTTGAAAGGCTTACCGTAAGCAGTTGCTAAGAAGTAGAGAGTTTCCAAGTTGAACAGGTGTAGTTTTAACCCCAAAAACTTTATCCAAACTGAAAAGATAGGGGGCTCCGCTTCTAGATCAAAGTCGACAGTCCACTTTAGAATTTTCATAAAACTTTTGTCAATCTTGATTACCTTTCTAGAAAAAATACGAGTAATCCACATCGTGAGATAACTGAATAAGTTTATGTCGGTCGTCAAGTAAGCCGATATTCTAACTACCCGATAGCTTCATAGCATCAAAATCTTTCCGAATGATCTTAAGTTTAGGGTGATCATAAAGGAATTTCTGCACTAGAGCAAAACGCCAAGAAGACGCAAGAGTACTGGTTTCAACCTCAGAGAGAAAAAGAGCAGGTTTCCCATTTTTTTACCAAGGTTTTTAATGAAAGTGTAATCACTACCACCTTCAAGAGCCTCGTAGAAGGATTGTGGAACAATGCAGGACTTGTCGATACTAAAACCAGACCCTTAACCTGAAATAAGGGCACAAGTAGGATTAAAAATGTCGTCGGCAAGGGTAGTGGCATAGGAACAGAGCGTCGAGGCCATCTCCACCTGGCAAGATGACCACGGTCAGATTATGGAGAGGCGTGGCGAGCAGGAGAGGCGAATGCGGGCAGACAGGCGTCGCCTTTCGGACGCGTCAAACTGCAACACGAAACCGTTGTGGTCAGGCAGGAGAGGCAAATGCGAGCAAACATGCGCGTCGTCGGTTAGGAGACGAAGTGCAAGCAGACAGACGTCGTTGTTGTCTTCGAGTAAGGCGAGCAGACAAACGTCGTTGGGCTGAAGAGACGACCTGCGAGCGTACGAAGGAGCGTCATCGATTGACGTGTGAGTAACCTTGACGAAACCGACGACGCAAAATTGTCGTCGTGGGAGATGACAAAAAAATGGAGTGAAGCCGGTAGTTTTAACGCCGGGAATCACTGTCAGGCGGAACCCTAGCAGAGCCCGCTGCCGATGCCATTCTAAATTCTATCTATCTATCTATATAAAAATATTCTTACAAAATTTTATATTTCATTTTGATAATTTTAATATAGTGATAAATATATAAAAACATAAGTATTGTAGTTGTAGTTGTTATATATATATATCAACTACAACTACAATACTTATGTTTTTATATATTTATCACTATATTAAAATGATCAAAATGAAATATAAAATTTTGTAAGAATATTTTTCATTTTTGGGGTGTATGAAAATTTGGATATAAAATTTTATGAGAAATTTTAGTTGTCTTCATACATTTTTAAGGATTATAATGTCTGCTGAGTTGGAGTGGTGTTGCTGGTATGAGCTGAATTTTCCGTTAGTTGAACTTAAAATCATAATGTTAAATATATTCAAACACAGCGAAAAATAAGACATAAAATATAGACCAGTACATATGAACAGATAAGAATTTTATACATCTTCATCCAATTGATCGTTCCTCTTGTCGCCATTGTAGATTTCATTATTGTTTGATTATGGGGAAATTACAACCCTAGTTTCATCAATATAGTATAAGATCTCCTTTCTCTTATTATGAATGAATACCACAAGTACCTAACAGCTTGCATATGGTAGAAATTAGGTTCCACAACATAGCAGAGGGTACCATGTTGTAGGAAGCAGCATTAACTTGATCATTTTGTTGCTTTGCATGACAATGCTGCTCTTATGCTTTAGAACTGGTTTTTCATTTTAAGAATCGCGTTCCTCTTTAATGAAAAGGCATCCGTTGCTCTCACTTTCTTAATGTTTTTTCTGAACATGAATTATGGATTTCTGATGATTTGCCACCTTCCTATAATTAGATTATTGTCTTCTATGCGCTTTAAAATTTTAACCTTTTTTCTTATGCTGCACATGTTAGCGTTGTTCTGGATACTTCAGGTAATGCTAGGAGTTGATCGGCTTGACATGATTAAAGGGATTCCCCAAAAGATTTTGGCATTTGAGAAGTTCCTTGAGGAGAATCCAGGCTGGCGTGATAAAGTAATATTGCTCCAAATTGCAGTTCCAACGAGAACTGACGTTCCTGAGTGTATGTTCCTATTTGTTCTAGCGCATTCATTTTCTTAATATTCTTTTATAGATGGTTGAAGCAAATGTTACAGTATCTATAGCAAGAAGCATCCTTTTATGATAAAATTTGTTAAGTCAAGAAGAACTACAATGCCGTGTTTTTTCTAGCCAGCCGTGTGAATCATCCTTTCATGAATCTTTAATTTTGAACTCAATATTTTCACAGTTGTAATATTAGAACTTTCTATGAGCTTGAAGCATTTGTGACACGCAATTTGTGTAGAATATTTTCACTTCTGTTCAACACTTTTCCCATCGATAGTTGAAGTAATTTTTTCTTTGTTTATAGCAAATTTTATAATCACTTAATGAAACAAGTAAACCATGTAATAATTGTCAAAAATTGCCAGATAATAAAGAATGAAAATAAATATACAATTAAAGGTAAATGTTGGCATAAAAGAAATTATTTTTTTGATGGATGAGAACGTAAAATGATCATTTATCGTGTCTAGTAATTTGATAAATATTAGTGAGTGGCGATATATTATTACTCTATATATTTCATTTATCTAGCAAACATGATTTGAAACCCTCTTCCCACTTGTGCCTCAATGCTCAAAAGACGTTCGTCATAATCATAAAGCTTCTCAAAGTTGGGGGACCCGAGCATCCACAAAATAATTTGATTATGACTAGCTAACACATCTAGAGGATCTAGAGCAATGCCCTTGCATGGAAATGAAGTGTAAGCCACATCTTTGGGACAAAGGACAAGAAGGTAGGGTTCTAGTTTTATAATAAAATTTGAAGTTGGTTCAAAAATTTGTGTGCAAGTCAGATCTGAAGTAAGTGGAATTTTGACCATGTTTGGCAAAAGATTTTGTCATTTGTGTACGCATCTTAGATTTGGGTGGAAGGACCAATAGAAGATGACTTTCTTAGTTGCCTGTGGGCCTTGAAATACTCCGAGTAGTTTTGAGTAAAAAATTACCAGAAGAATACTAGGAATGTATGTTTTCAAATTTAAACTTGGTTAGCCATTGTGGAAATCTGAGAAGATATTTTGGAGAATTTGATTGGAATAACTTTAGAAACCCTTGTTTAGTTTATTCCCTTCTTATGCTATGTTATTTTATTTTTATGTCAGAGTTATTTGTTTTCCTAATTCAGGTTAGATATATTTGGTAAGTTTGTAAATTAAGAGAGATTGTTTTCCCTGTATATATGTACCCTACATGTGTGACACTTCATTTCATCACCTAGAGGAAGTCCAAGGGAGGGAAATGAAGCTAATGGTTGGGGACGCGAAGGGATGTTTTGACCTATAAATCATCTTGTATGGGAGAGATAGAGGTGAGATCAAGAGATAGAAGGCGACCCTTACAACTTATATAGGGAGTCTATTGACGCTCTACGAGGGAGACAAAGCTTGCGTGAGTATCGACGTCGACAACAGGCGAGGGCAACATTATGGGAGGTCTATGTTGAGTGCGGGTACTGTGAGGAAGAAGAGTCGAAGGAGGAAGGTGTTTGTTGTTTTTTTTCCTGCCGTGTGAAGCCTACCACACTCGGCCAAGTCCTAGCAGAAGAGAGGAAGGAGCTCTTGTGCGTGTGGGTAGGAGTCAGATCTTGAATGCAGAGGAAGAAGAAAGGAGACCAAGTTTGTAATGTTTCGACCGTGATATTAAATGATGGATTTAATATTTAATAAAGTTACATATATATATATATATATATATA